CCAACCCAGGAGAGCCAGCGCTGTGGCCGCCACCACAGCCAGAGCCAGCAGGACGATCGCAGCACCCGCCCATTCATCCTCGCCATTCCCATCCCAGCCCCAGAGGGGCCCGCTGGTCTCCATGGCACCCTGGATCGTGGTGCTAGGGAGCCCGACGTGAGCCGGCAGCTGCTGGTGCCACACACAGGGCCCTGGGCTGCCTCGGCAAATATGGCATCAAGAATGCCCGGCCCAGAGCCCGGGTTAAGGTGGACCTGTCAGCCGGGCCTAGGGAAGGGGACTCTGCCTGCACCCAGGCTTGGAGGTTTGTCAACAGGCCCGTGATGGTATCAGGGGATCCTGTGGCCTACAACTGCCTTCCTCACTGCCCACTGGCTGCTGCCTTCTCCACCTTTTCCTGGGGTTCCAGGTCAGATGGCAGTGTTCTTGAATTCTGGTCCAGTGGCCCAGTCAACCTGCTTCTGCCTGACACCCCCAGATTCATCCCACACCCCTGGTCCAGTCTCAGGGGGCTCTGGCAGGGAAGGGTTACTGGTGGGGAGATGTTATCTTGAGACTTAGCAACATGATGCAGCCCCGATGAAGTTACCAGAAACTGGAGAGGCCGATTCCACCACAGCCAGCAGGGAGGCGGGATGGGGGTGGGGAGCTGAGGAGGGGCCCTGGGCCTGGGTCCCGCTGGAGGCAGTCAAGGCAGGTGTGAGTGATGGTTTACATCCTGGCATGCGGGGCTAGGGTTCCCACACCCTCTCCTCCAGCACCCTGAGCTCACCAGAGATGGAGTAGAGTTTTGAAGAGGGGGGAAAAAATGAAACAAAGAAAACCCAAAACTCACATCTCCCTCTTGTTGGTCAGGCTTATGCCGACCACTTAGTACTGAATGTCCTGGGCCCCTCTCACCTCTGCAGTCTACCCAGGTGCAGATCCACCATGCCAATGGAGAGCCCTGAGTAGGCTGCCCCTACCTACTCCAGATGCTGTCAGCAGATCCCCGGCCCAGGCGCTCTCCCAGACAACTTCTGATGTCCTCAGCCTTCAGCCTCCTCTCTGAGCTGAGGTCATCCCTCAAGACCAGACTCTAGCCCACTCCTTGCCTGGGCCCAGTCCCTTGAGGCCAGAAGATGTTTCTACCAGGCGTGAGTGCCTGGTTTCTAGGAAGCAGTCTATCTCCTCCACCTGCTTATCACACAAGCCCATCTCAAGAACAAATCTTGGGACAGATGCCAAGTGGGGCCCAGACATGACACAGAGCTTGGAGGGTCCCTGGGACAGATATTCCGCCAAAGTGGGCTTTTTCCTCCTGCTGGGACATAGTGGACCTAGGAACTTCTCCCTGACTCAGGCAGCAAGGACATGCCAAGTTCATCCCTGGCACCCTGCCCTGACTCTGCTGAGCTTCAAGTGTCTCCTGGCCTGGTCCCCTCCCACTCTGCCCCAGGACTATTATATGACAGTGAAAGGGTGGAACTGGCCCCATGCCTGAAGGCAGACTTCAGGTTCGGGGAGGGCTTTCATGTCCTTATTCTCTGTTGGTTAGGTTGGGGTCCAAAGACCTTCAGAGGATGGAGCGGATTCCCCTCTCTGTCCCAATAGGCCAGTCAGCTCCACCTACCTTCTGCAGACCCACTTCTGCAGAGCCCCAGGCCACGTCCAGGAATACGAGGTGGATCTGTCAAGGGATGGAGGGCACCACATAAGGAGGAACAAGCACAGGGACCCTTCCAACCGACCCCACAAGCTATGAGGACCACAGCAGGTGCTGCAGACACACAGGTAAGCAAGGGCCTGCTCAGTCCCATCCAAAAGGAAGCATCTCCCTTTGCCAAAGCCAGACCAAAGGCAAAACATTGCCCTGCATGGAGAGACTCCTGGCGGCAAGGGTGCCTGGGGACATGCTGTCTACCCAAAGTAGAGTCATTTTGTCCTCTTCACTTCCCAAAGTTAAAATGTGGCCCTGCTGGAAAAGTAACAGAACTTTGAAATGTCTACACAAATTGTGAGACACACACAACTAACCTGAACGTGCCGTGATAACATAAATGTCAGAAATACCACTAAAGTTGGGCGTGGTGGCACACGCCTGTAATCCCAGCACTCGGGAGGCTGAGGCAGGAGGATCACTCTGAGTTTGAGACCATCCTGGGCTATATAGTGAGTTCCAGGTCAGTCTCAACTACATAGACCCTATTACAAGACCCTGTGTCAAAAAAACAAACAAAAAAAAAAAAAAACACTAAGGAAAATGGTAAAAAATAGAGATGGTTGTCCCAGGAAGCTCCAGCCCTTAGCACCTTCCTGAGAGGCCCTCTTTTTCAATTTAAGCAGAGGCTCAGCCCTCAGGATCCCATCTGAGAGCCCGCTGAAACAGAGAGACTGTGTTGCCTCACAGCACATACACACAGGAGTGGGGGCACCACCGCCTGCATGCTGGCTGGGGTCACAATGGTAAAAAATAGAGATGGTTGTCCCAGGAAGCTCCAGCCCTTAGCACCTTCCTGAGAGGCCCTCTTTTTCAATTTAAGCAGAGGCTCAGCCCTCAGGATCCCATCTGAGTCCCCGCTGAAACAGAGAGACTGTGTTGCCTCACAGCACATACACACAGGAGTGGGGGCACCACCGCCTGCATGCTGGCTGGGGTCACCCATACCCGTGGATCTTCTGTGACACTCACGAAGGACCCACCACAGCATGGTTCCAGCCTGGCAAAGCTGGTCCTGGCCACCACTGCTCCCTCTCTGAACTCTGCAGTGGAAGGAGAGCGCGGGAAGTACAAATATGATTGATTCCCAGTGGAGAGTGAGCTAGCGAGGCCCCCCCAACACACACACAGCAGGAGGGTGCAGTGCTCTTTATTACCAAAATTATTTAAAAATGGAAACACTGTATATCAGAAATGATATTAAACAATGACATGTTATTATATAATTATGTTGAACTTTAAACCTATGTGTGTAGATAGATATACATACCTAGGCACAAGTAAATACAGAATAATTTTAAGGCTCAGAAAATACTAACCCCAGACTTAATAATTATGCAACAATTATTATATACTACACATTATATTGTTATCGTTATTATTGTAAATTGCACAGTAATTATTGTACACACCAGGAAATACTTCTCAAAGAACTCATCTAGGGGCTGAAGCCTGGCGGCACAGCACGCACAAGGCTCTTGGTTCAATCCCTAAGCACTGGCCCCCAAAAAAGTTCTCAATAGGAGAAACAAGAAAATAACAATTTATAATGGAAAACGTATGTGGTCAATAATATAAGAATGATAGAGAAAACATGCCTATGATTTTAAAATGTGGTACTGAAAATGTTATATAAATAGTCATTGGTAATGTGGCTGTAAAGTTTAATACAAATACTAACAGGGAGTCTTGCAATACAAGGGAAATAAAATAAATTTTTTAAATAATAAAAAGTATGGGAAAGGAGAGATAAAACATAGCAAGGGCTGGTGATGTACTTTAGTGGTTGCATGCACAAGGCCCTAAATTCAGTTCCCACTACCCCCCCAACACACCAAAGCAAAATAAAATTATTTCTCCAAGACAGAGAATATACATTGTTTTAATTCTTTTTTTGGGGGGTGGGGGTTGAGACAGGGTCTCAATATGTAGTTCAGACTGCTCTGGAACTCACTGTGTAGCCCAGGCTGGTCTCAAACTCACAGCGATCCTCCTGCCTCAGCCTCCCCAGTGCTGGGATTACAGGCATGCACACTATGTAGTTGAGACTGACTTGGAACTCACTATGTAGACCCAGGCTGGTCTCAAACTCACAGCGATCCTCCTGCCTCAGCCTCCCAAGTGCTGGGATTACAGGCATGCACCACCACACCCAGCTTACATTGTTTTAATTCTTGAGAGCAATTGCTAAATTCAGATCATTTCAAATTTAAATTTTAAGAAAAAATTTTAATTTAGATATTTACAACACTCATCAACTGGAAACCCAAGGTCACATACATGCTAGGCCAGCACTGTAGCACTGAGCTACATCCCCAGCCCAATAAATTGGAAAAGTTAATATGGTATCAAATGTCCCCAAATTTATCTGCAAAGTCGATGTAATTTCAATTGCAATCCTAACAGGTGGGCTATGTGTGGCTGTGAGACGGAAACTGATTCCATAGGGAACAGGGGCCCAGTGATGGTGATTAGCACAATGTTCCTACTGAAGAAAACCCAAAAAGCTGAGCTAAACTATATAAAAACATATATACATTCATAAGAGCATCAAAGAGCTTCAGACAGCTAAAATCTAGGGCAAATGTCTACGAACTGGTGAGGAAAACCCACGTCTCAAAACTGCTTTTATCTGGAGAAACCAGGCTGTGGCTTGAAACCAGGACAAAAGGAACCAAGGCCACAGCCCACCTGTCTGAGGGTCCAATAGAAATTTAAAAAAAAGAAAAACAGATGTTAGACTTCGATAGAATTTAAAACTTGTGTGCATCAAAAGATATTATCAAGAAAGTAACAAGCCAAACTATAGAATGAGAAAAACATCTCAAATCATCTCTCTGATAAAGGTCTAATATCCAGAATATATCAAGAACTCTTACAATTTAAGGAAAAAATTTTAAGTGGGCTAGGGACTTGAACTGACACTTCTCCAAAGAAGATATCCAAATGGAAAAAGAGGTTCCTTATCACCGTTCTTAGCAAAAGATAAGTGAAACCACAGTGAGGTAAAACTACACACCCACTAGGATCACTATAAATTTAAAAGGTGGGAAGTTAAATGTTAGCAAGAATGTGGAGAAAATACCCTGGTAGCGGGAATGTACAGTGATGGCCAGGCCACAGTGGAAAACAGTTTGGTGGTTCCTCAAAAAGCTAAACATAAAATTACCATAAGACCTTGCACTTTACTCCTCAGTACATATCTAAAAGAAGTGAAAACTGGAGCCTGGGCTGGTGCACGCCTTAAGAAAATGGAGCCTGGGAGGCTGAGGTAGATGGATCCCAAGCTCCAGCCCAGGCTGAGCAATTTAATGATTTCACAAAACCCTATCTCAAAACGAAAAATTAAAAAGTGCTGGGGGTGGGGTGTAGTTCAGTGTAAAGGCCCTGGGATCGATCCCTAGCCCTGTTAAATATACAGTGAAAATGGGGATTCAAACAAGTACGTGCTCGTGACAACACTTTCACAAATGGCTCAAAGGGGAGAATAGTGCAAATGTCCATCAACAGATGGATTAAACAAATTACGGTGCATACTACAACAGCTCCTCCAGTAAAAGTAGTGAAATTTCCATGCATGATGACACTGAGAACCCTGAGGACATTATGCTGAGTGGATAAGCCAGACACAAAAGAAAAACATTGTATGATTCCATTTACATGAGGTTCCCAGAACAGGCAAATTCATATAGACAGGGGCTGGAGGGAGAGGAAAAGAGAGGGTATCATTATGGGTAAAGAGTTTGTGTCGGAGATGATCAAAAAGTTTTGGGGAGAGAGAGTAGTGACAGGTGCACAGCACTGTGAATTAACGTCACTGAATTTTATGCTTTTCTGCACCCATGCTCTCCTCAGCTCCACGCACCCCGTCTCACCTGAACTTTACACCTGAAAATGATCAGAATGATTAACATGATCACACTATCCCCACAATATCCTTACCCTCTGACACAGGCAGGGCAAGGATACCCTGAAGGCACCAGGTAAAGTCTGGTCAGTGCGGCCGACCAGAACCAGCACCGTGTTGAACAACGTTAGGTTAGGCCTAGGTTTAAGGTTAAGGTTGGGCTTTTCACACCTCATTTCTCTAATGGAGAAATGGACCTGTTCCCAGGCCCAGAAAAGCCCCAGGACGGCAAACACTGAGCCTTTGGGAGGGGTCACAACGGGAGGCACCACAGCCAAGGCCTCGCTGTCCACCCATGGTCTGGCCCCACCAGATGGCCTGTTCTCAGCTAAGCCACCAAAGGGTGCGAGAGTGTGTACCAGTCTGCAGTTCCGGAATATCATTGGGAATCACCTGGCTATTCATTCACATCAACAACCAATTAAATAACAAATAAATGGAGGAGAAATCACTGAGAAGACAGATGAAATCTATTATGCTGTATTCTGACACACACAGTAAGGGAGGTGGGGCTTCTCTAAGAGGAGGATCTTCCAAGAATACTGATTGATAAGGATGACTAAATTAAAAATTCTCTGGCCCAGGATTTAGCTCAATGCTGTCCTGCCCGACTTGCAATCGCAAGGTCCTGAGTTCAATCCCCTAGTACTGAAGGAAAAAAAAAATCACACATCTCATATTTTGTTTTTAAATGTTGGAAAATAAGGCCAAGGGAAACCAAAAGGAAAACGAAAATCTTTTCTTTGACAAATATAACAAAGAATTTCAGAGATGGTAAACAAATCCTGAGTCCATAGACAATGGGGACGGTGTTGTGGCGCCCTCTGGTTGTGATGCTGTGTATAATGCCCTCCCAAAGAAGGGGTCAAATCCAGGGAGGGAGCCCCTAAGAGTTCAAATGTGATTTCAACTGTTGTAAAATATATCTAGAAACTGGATTAAAATGTCCACAAAAGATGATATACACTCAAGATACTCCTGAAACTCATTTGCCTCCTACACTAACTGGCATGTTCTGCTGTAAATTGAAAATGAACTGATCACGATTATGCAGTGTGGATGAATCAGGTGCAGGGAGCAGGTCACACAGTAAAAAAGAAAGTGGTACCACCATTCTGGAAAGTAGTGCAGCAGTTTCTTTTAAGCATAAGCATGCACTTACACACAGCCCATACCAGCATTCCTGGGCACTTAAAAAGAAGCGGGGGCCGACAGCCACACAAAAACCTGGGCACAAATGTTCACAGCCTCTTATTTTTAATAGCCAAACTGTTTCTCAATAAATGACAATAAGAATGCTAAGTATCAAAATGACCAGATAGGGGCTGGGGAGTTAGCTCAGTGGCACTGTGCCTTCCTTGCAAACGCAAGGTCCTGAGTTCAATCTCCGGTACAAAAAAAAAAAGACCAGATACAACTGAAATCAAATTCAGAAAGAAATCATTCCCTTAGCTGTAAGTGCTCCAAGGGGGACTGAAAACAGGTTTATTAAGCCTGGGTTCCTAAAAAAGCAGCAGTCAGGCAGGGGTCCTCCTACTGTGGCATTGGGGAGAATAACCAAGGACAAGGAAGAAGAGGAGGACAGTCCCAAGATACAGATCTTGTCTACTTACTACTTCTTCTGTGAACTTGTCCTCCAAGAGGCCAAATAAACTCGTCCTTTCCCAACACAGGGAAAGAAGAGAGGAGAATCCATTAGATCACAAGCTCTCCCGGTAGAGCACATTTCCCACACTTCTGTGCTGGGCAGAAGTGAGGATCTGGGCAGCTGGCTGGTCAAGGCACAGCAGTCACCACCGGAGGTGACAAGTGGCCCCAAAGGGAAGCTGGCCAGAAGGACCTTTATGGGCTTCAGAGGGTCTGATACATTCGCAAAGAATTTTTCTAACTAGCAAAAAAAAAAAGTCATTAAAGCCTAAAATAAACAGCAAAAAACACGACTTTGCACTTCAAAAGCTACAGGAGGGCCAGGATTTAGCTCAGTGGTGGTGCTGCCTGCCTCAAAAGCACAAGGTCCTGAGTTTGATCCCTGGTACCAAAAAAAAAAAAAAGCTACAGATAACTAAATGTGAGAATTAAATATGAAAAATTAAGAGTCACCCCCTTTCAGAGTTTGTCTGATTAACATTTGGTCCTTTGAACATATCAGCTGAAGAGCAGAACACTCAGGGACACAAATAACTTCAAAGATAGGCATTCACTCAGACATCTGTGTTCCTCCCTGCCGGAGAATGAGCCTGGGGCCTGTGCATGCTAGGCAAGAGCCAACCCTCAACCCTGTAACGGTGTGCGAGGCACCAGACCATCCCGACCATCCGCCATACTAGTGACTCGGAACAGTCTTCCTTCTCTTCCATTTTTACTGGCTGCTTCTCTCCCACCGTGGTTTCACATCAGCACCTGTGGCTTATTTACATTTCGTGGAAGGATTTATTTTATTCCTTCAAATTTACTGTTTTTAATTTTACAGTGCTTTTTGCTCTGTACCCCTATTGGAGGGGGATTTGAAGGCTTTTTGTTTTTTCCTTTTCTCGTGCCCCCCCATACCAGAGATTGAAACCTAGGGCCTTCGTGCTACATCATTACATCATCAGTCCTGTTTCTTCCATTTTTAATTTTGAGAAAAGCTGTAAGTCACTAAATTGCCCAGGCTAGGCTTGAACTTTCGGTCCTCCTGCCTCACCCTCCCATAGTGCTGGAATTACAGGTGTGTGTCATCATGCTGCAACATACAAATAGAGAAATTGCACCAGGAATTTGGATGTAGAGCTAAATGAGCTTTTTTACCAATGGACTTTTTTTCTTTTTTGGTAGCAGGGATTGAACTGAGGACCTCACACTTGTCAGGCAGGCACTGTGCTACTAAGCTAAATCCCCAGCCAGGACCTCCCCACCCCACCCCAACTTTGCAAGGTAATTATTGTGGCATTTCACAGTGACTTAGCTGAGAAGATCCTGCAACTCAGTAGGATGTTAAAATATCTTACAGGCCCACTGGTGAGGTTGTAAGAGTCTGAGAAGCTGCATTCACCCAAAATCCCAGCACCTGCCCTGGCCCAGGTGCTCAGCACTGTGGCTAGCAGCCCATTGGTTCCAGGATCAGTGTTCATTTCTGCCAAATCCCCGACCAAAGGCTCCCATGATCCCTGGGGCTCTATGCTCTTATCTGTTTTGAAATCCACATTTACTCTCTCAATTGGAGCAACAAAGTATTTCAGTGAAGGGCAGACTATGATTATTTTGCCTCTTCAGGTCACTCAATTCTGCACTGCAATATGAAAGCAGCCACAGCACAGTAAACAGATGCATGTGGCTGTGTCCCAATGAAACACGCCTACAAGAGTGAGAGGCCTGGCACAATGACCCGAAACTTTCCCCGGGCTTACTGATGTCTCCAATCTAGACCTCTTCAGCCCTTGTGTGTGCAGCACAGATATCTCAAGTCTGAAATGCTCAGATTAGGACTCAACATTCCACCTGTCCCAGGTATGGTCAGTAGCATTCGGCTTCTGGTCCACTTATTTTCCTATATTTTACAGCTGAAAAGCAACCTTTGTATTTTGTAGATTCTCTTGCAGCTGAGTATTGGAGAGGTTGTTGAGTTAAGTGCTCCAGTGTGTAATGGGAAGGCAGAAATGATAGCAGCTGTGGCTGCCGGGGGTCATTCCCTGTATGACTGCTGTTCTCAGGCACAAGACCAAGCACAGGTGTCAGATTTTAGGACCTGGAAAGGCCATGTTGCTCGCACAAGTGTGCTGTTGGCTGGGTCCCCAGGCATGGAATGCAGACCGCATCTGTGGAGATTGTGTTAGGCCAGAAAGAAATGTGACTGCCATCTGGCTACAAGACATTTTTGCCTCACATTGCTGGTTCCTTCTAGTTTTTAAAAAATAGAAATCTAAGGGCCAGGGATGTAGCTCAGTAGTACCACACCTGCCTGGCAAGTACAAGGTCCTGAGTTTGATTCCCAGTAAAAAAAAAAAAAAAAAGACAGAGGGCCAGGATTTAGCTCAGTGGTTCTGTCTGCCTCACACGAGTGCAATCCCCAGTACCAAAAAAAAAAACAAAAAAAAAAAACAGAAATTGAGATTCTATGTATATTTGATGGAAATTTTAAAAATAATTTTATGAGCTAGTAAAAACATTTGTACAGTCAGATATTGGCTGAGTGGCCCGTTTGCAATCTTTGATGTTGTATTAAGACTAAACAATGACAATATATGCAAATAAGATGATTACTTATTGTAGAAGGCAGGAGAAACAGCAGAGTTTATGAGTGAGGTAAATATAAGTGAACCCTTATTAAATATTTTAAAAATTCAAATATCCCACAAAGAAAAGATGCTATCTTTTCAGTCCTAAATGTCAAGATGGTGTGGAGCCGCCTTTAAGGCTTGTGGCTTTCTTTTATTTTTTAAACAATAGGGCATAAATTAAAACCAGAAATCAGCAATCAGCAGAACAATGAGTTTGCATAGAGTCCTGATTTCCCAGCTGGCCATCTGGATTAGCGCTGTCAGCAGCCTGGAAATGAGTTTGCTGGTACAATTGTTTGGAGTTTTTACTTTGGCTGGGCTTAGTGGTACTCACCCATAATCCCAGCAGGGAGGCTGAGGCAGGAGGATCACTAAGAGTTCAAGGCCAGCCTGAAATACAATAGACAGTGAGGCTCTGTCTCAAAAAAACAAAAAATAAGAATAATTTAAAAACAAAAATAAAGTATTAGTTCAAATCTCATATATATATTTGAAATCTATAATCAGCTGAGTAACTAACAAGCATGTGCCACCATACCCAGTTGGAGTTTCTTTTGATCCAGAAGTTAACAAGACTTATTAATTTCAGTATTTTTCTTTTTTTTTTACACTTTATTGTTTTCTTACAATTGTTTTGGATTATAATCATAATCCAAATGTCCTGTCCTACCACATCCTTTTATTCAATTTGCATGTTTATCTTCGGGTCTGACTTTTTGGGGGGACAAGTATTCGATGATCATTCTCTTATTCCCACACTGGTTTCCGTCTGCAGGTGTCTAAATCTGGAATGGGTGCACCAAACGCGGCGGCAGGGTGAGCTCCCTGCTGGTCCGCGGCTCCCTTCGACTGGACCCCACAGAGGTGGGGTGGGCGGCGTACGTGACTGAGCAGCGTGTGTGACAGTCCGGTTGCCTGGAGGCGGCTGGGGACACAATGGGGCTTGGGAGTTGGGAGGGGTTAGGGTGAGGTGTCCAGCTACCCTGCTCAGTCCTCCAAAGCAGCAGGTCGGTGTACCCCGGGCGCCTCAGGAAGCCGCGCCCCACATTCTTTCCCAGCGCTCCAAAATCTTTGCCCCCACGGAATGCCCTTCCCCAAGTCTGGGTCTACGCTTTGTGCCGTTCGGGGAACGGAGACCGGGGAAGGCCGCGGAGCTCAGCCCCTGGCCCGGGTCCCGCTGTGCTAGGAGCCTCGTTGTCCCCGGTTTGTTTTCCGGGCGTCTGGGATACGCGGCGGCCCCGCCCGGTGAGCGGACCCCGAGCCGCTGCCGCCTCCCGTCCTC